GAAGTCCAGAGGACATTCATTTCAGAAGAACGTTGATAATAAGAGTCTTAATCTACAACGTCCCTGTGTAATGTTTTAATATAAACAATATACTGAAGAAGATGTAGTGCGTAGATCTCACAACTAAGATACTGAAGAGCAAATCACACTACATGTTTTCATCTCTGCCTGTTGCTACAAACCAATATCAAATTGAAAGAGCTTTACCATGTAGCCTGACACTTCCCTCAGTCAACCTCATCTATCAGAAAGGCACTCGGATGTATTCATCTAACTTTCAAGTCAATCGTACATTGCTGGGGACAGTATGTGTGAAATGATGGAGAGATGCAATCATATTTCATGGTTAGAAAGTCACATTTTATTTAATAGGTATGGTTACTGTGGTGCTAGCGTGGAGGACCAGATTGCTGCCTGGGGCAATGCAGTAGTCATTATATATCCTGACGCAAGCTATTTAACCAGTTCAGCTTACAGAGATATCTAATTATCATATTTAGCTATATAACCCAAGAATTGCATGCAATAGTTTAATTCCATGAAAGAACTCAATTCTGTCAATAGGACATTCAACCCCAAGCCCCTGCCTCTTATCATCTGTATACTTTCAACTTATGTCAGAAGGTTGTGGCATTAACAATATTAACAGCAAACATTTGCTCAGAATAGTCAGGCTCTGTAACTCCCTTCTATCAACAATGATGGGAATAGATTTGCCAAAATTTGATTTATAAGGTGAAATACCTGGGTGATGGTAAGGGATACTATTTATTTCAGAACATAAGTTTGAGGTATCGACTGAATCATCAAGATGATGGAATTCTTGCAAGATCATAATATCTCAGGCTGAAAAATCTTAGATTTTGTAATCTCATGAGAATTTTGGTATGTAGGGCCCAGTTCCACATGACATTGTATGATAGAACCATCACAAGCAAAATTACAAATCTTTAGTCCAGGAAATAATTTAGGGTACAGGAGGTTGAACATTTTTTGTCCAGTAATAAGTAAGGAGTAATAAAACAATGTTCCTCGATTTTTTTATTGTCCTTCCTTATTGTTACAGTACGAAGAGCTGAATGAAATAAAGAAGTAAGCGGGCTTTATAGTCTTTATAAAGACTATATATTCATCATATTTTCTGAGTAAAACTATACAGCGTGCTGTTCTCATGCATATCTCATTCCTGTCAGGCACTTTGATTTATGACAAACATTTAAAAGAAGCTGCATTTTAGCATCAACGCAAGCAATTTACGAAAGCACTTCAAAATTTCCTCTGCATTGATCAAATTATATCACTAGATATAAAGCGTTCCAGATACCTCTAAATATATCCAAGCTGTTCATTCTATCAAGTATTTACTGAAATGTGATAGTATACCAAGCATTCTAGTGTTATTATCACGTTTGTATCTGAGCACTAAATTCCATCATAAAAGGCGGGGTTCATCGACAAATGCGCAAAAGACTTTTCTGTACCGACAGAACCGTGACGGAGAAATGCGCGCCGTCATAATCGCTAATCGGCGCTATTTTGTCGATCGCTATTTTGTCAGGTCACGAAAAGGGGGGGGGGTGTATCTGATATATTTTTGGCTGCTAATCATGAAAATCCTTCCATCCTTCTGAGGTCAGGAAAATGAGAACCCAGATTGTTGGGGGGCAATAAGCTGATTCTGTAAAATGCTTAGAGAATGCTGTAAAACCCTATGAAGGGTATACAAGTCTAAGACCCATTGCTATTTGTCCCTATTTCTAATGGGTTTACAAAGGTGCTGTGTGGTGGTAACAATTTGTTCTTCGTATAAATGGGAGAGATGCGAGAAGCATTCTTGGGAAACAAAAACTAAATCCCACGTATGTGAGCATAGAGTTAATCCACTATTTACCAATTCGTCATTACCACTCAGGTGGCACCATTGTTACCAAAACCATGAGCTCATCACAAAAGGATATTCATGAATCCAGAGTGAATCGGTGAATAGTGGTAGAAACATATAATTCCTCAAAACATGGAAGAACACCATAGCATGAAAAAGATATTTGAGTATGGTTGATGTCAGCCTCTCTTTAGCTGCTTGCTTTCGGCTGCCATTGAAACTGGGAGGGAGGGGGAGCATTGCATGTGGGTGGGGAAGTGTCTGCACAGGAGTGACTGTAAGAAGGGAGTTTTTCTCCACATCTACTGCGCATGCTGCAGATAAAGGATTTGCCGCCAAGGCCAACTGTCTGGCATACCAGCCTGTTGATGTTTTTTGAAGATGTCTCCCACATGACACCTGTGGGGTGTTTGGATTGGACTACGGGATGGGGTTACCAAGGGGAGGGGAATGGGTCACATATTGATATCTATGATTACGCGCACTTTTGCCTCAGATCTTGCTTTGCCTAGCTGCTATCTACTCATCACCAGTAAAAGTACTCTTAATTCTGCAAAACGGAGTTGAGTGGTTTCTTTCTTGGTTACTGAGTGAAGCAGCCCTGACAGTTAGCAAAAAGTCTCAAACATTCCTTCAGACATGACAGTTACAAGCCACGAGGCCTTAAAGGTTAAATAGCAGCACCTGAAATGGGAATCTGCTATACTGAAAATCAGTTTGTTCACCTAGATTTCTTTCTGTCTTCCTCAGAAGAAACTAAATCTTGATGTTACAGCTGATCTCACGTGAAAGAAAGGACTATGCAAAATGCATTTTTCTTTGTGGTGGCTCTCCAGTAGACATCCCAGCATTTCAAGCAGTTTAGTGCAGTGTTTCTCAACCTTGTCAACTTGAAGATGTCTGGACTTCAACTCCNTTTTTTTCTAAAGGATTATGGGTGCAAGGGTCTTGTAACTTGACAGCTTTAAGACTTATGTGCTTCAAATGCCAAAGTTTCTGAGCCAATATTTAGTTGCTAAGCAAGAGCGTTGTTAAGTGAGTTTCACCACATTTCACAAGTTGGCCACACCCACCCAGTCATATGGCTGGCAAGCAACTCCCACAAAGCAGGCCACACCTAACAGAAGAAGTTCTAGAAAAAATTGAAACCCACCACTGAACTACACAAATGTTCCAGATTTTGCAATGGAGAAGGTGGCTGGTCTGGGTTGACTTTTAGTTGAAGAGCCTTTTTTTCTGTGCCTGAATGGAAGTAAAGTTGAATACTTGAATTTTAATGAGATTCTGTATTTTCTGTGTAGGACAGATTCTCAGCAGGAATGTCTACGTGTTTGAGAAGCTGTACAATTATTTAACTGGGAAATTATATAGAAGAGATCTGGAGGTTGGAGAGAATGAAAATAGAATGGTTCCCTATTTAAATTAAAATAGAATGTAGTTTATAGGTTAGTTTTCAACAAAAATAAGAGTTATAATGATAATTAAAATAGATGTATGCTGGAAGACTAGAGTGCACATTTAAAGAATATATGCACTGATAAAGTCTATATGCATATCTCACATCAAAGGACAATGCAGCACTTTCTAAAAAAATATCTTGTCTTTCTTATTAAGATCTACGAGAGATTAGCTTTTGATCCTCATCTGGGGAAAGGGTTCATGATTTTATTTAGAGGAGAAATAATAGAGGCACACTTTAAATTTTGATGTAATTTTGTGCATCTGTTTGACCCTAAATGGTCTCAGCTAAAAAAATGCAAGTATTGACAGGTACAAAACTGTAATTGCATATTCAGTCATGTTCTTCATAAAGCATTCACCATTTCAATTTATTTTGCTCTTTATTTAATGCTTATTTTTAAGCCAAATGGTATCACGTGAAGGAGCATATCAGTCACATGGCATTAAAAATCCATATCTGGATTGTTAATGAAATTGTATTGCGTTATACCTTAATCAACATTTGTACATTGTACTGGTATACACAGGGATGAAGGATTAAGTAGAATCTATATTTGGATTGTTATTGAGATGTGGATTATTTATTTTATTGCCTTACACCTTATCATAATCAACTTTTGTACATTGTACTGATATACACAGGGATGAAGGAGTATAAGAAGCTATATTAAAAATGAGTTACTCAAGAAATAAAATATTAGAGGGGGGTCACCATTGCTTAGTAAGACAGCATAGTGGAACATCTTCCAGATTTGTATTATTTTTATTTTATTATTGGAATCTTGAAGAACCTCAATTGAAGAAACTGCTCTGGGTTTGTGCCAAGCATCTCTGTTTCTCAATTGCAAAGAATCAGAAGCACACATTTTGCTTCAGTTAAACTGAATCCAGTCAACTAACAAGCACTAAATTGGCATTAAATAAGAGTCAATGGAATTCAAGAGGGATGGACTTAGATCACTTGTGACAATGTGATGACTCCAGGCTGATTCCTCTCTTGACTCCACCCTCAGGCTCTTCCTGCTCTTCTTCTACAATGCTAGCTTAAAATGTCCTGCCTCCCTTTTCAGTGTTTCTAGTGTCTTTGTTTTCAGGCATTGCCAAAATAATGGATAAAGTCCAATGGAGTCAATAAATCTTGAGGCTACTTGGATGCCTTTGGGTAATGTCAGTGGAAGGAAGAATACAATTTTATTTTACTTATGTATTGATATGATTCTGTCAGACCATTTTGGGTTCCTGAGTCCCAGAACATCTTACAATTACAACATGAGATCCTTGAAGTCAGAGGTCTCCATACAGTTGCCCCATCCTGTCTGGAGAGGGAACTGATTTTGCAAGATCAACGTAACAGTGGCTTATGTGCCACATATTCTCACTGTGCTTATGCATTAGGATCCAGATTTAATGCAACCAAACTCCTCGGGAAATGAACCTTTTTTCCCAACTGGATCTATTTAATTTGAGCAAAGACATGATGGCCATCTATTGGTGGTTAGCACTAAATTGAAGCTGTCTTCCAGGTCTACTGTAGCATGATGTGCAGTTCTGAAAGCGCCACAATTTTTAACATACTCCTTTGTATCCCTTCCTTCCTTCCTTCCTTCCTTCCTTCCTTCCTTCCTTCCTTCCTTCCTTCCTTCCTTCCTAGTATTCAACCACAAGAAGACATGAAGAGCCAGTGATGGGGAAGATGATGGAGTCTAGTTTTTCAGGCACCCAGTCCTTCCCTGAAGCTTTGTCTGCAGACAGAGGAGGCCAGGCTGCAAAGCCACATAGGTAAGGATGTGTTTCTTTTGTGAGACAAAGGCAAGGCAGGTGAACATAGTCACTTAGGAAACATTTGCAATCCAGAAATATTTCAGAAAACCTCCATTTGTTTGTTAAGCAAAGAGCACGGAGGACCTTCTCTTACAGATGCCAAAGTCATTATTTCAGCTGTTGGGTTGCCCCCATTCACTTTTCTATAAGGGGCCTAGAGGAAGCATTGAACAAGAGTCACAGGGCAGTGAATAAGATCATTGTATTCTGGTTACATAACAGCTTCTTTCCCCTGCCTCTCCTCTTACCAATGCATGAAGGTAATGACCCACCCACCCAAAGGCAGGCAACAGGACTGACTTGTGCTGACAAATATGAGTCTGTGTAAAGGAAATGGTTGCTCTGCAGAGGCTTTTCTATTGGCTGAAAGGGCATTATAAGGAGAGTGAGTCCATGTTTGCATATTGGTCATGATGTATCTCTATCACTATCTATCTATCTCCATCATATCCATCCATCCATCCATCCATCCATCCAACTAACTAACTAACTAACTAACTAACTAACTAACTAACTAACTAGGCATGCTGTCATCCATGGAATCGTGAAGAGTAGGACACAACTTAGCAACTGAACAATATCTGTCTGTCTGTTCATCTATCATCTATCTTCTATTTATCTACCTATCCATCTCTCGTCCCTCCCTCCCTCCTTCCATATTCTGTTTCCCTATCTGTCTGTTTGTTTATCTATCATCTAGTTTATATGCTACCCATCTATCAAGCAACTCTGGGCAGCTTGCAATGCCATAAATAACAGTATAAAACAATTACAAGCTTAACAACATTAAACAGTGAAATGTTAAAAAATATTAAAACTGACAACAGTCAGTCAGATACAAAGGATCATATATTGTCTGTCTGTCTATCTGTTTATCTCATCTATCAGAAAATGACCCTGTTTATTTGCAAGCTCTTTGTGACCACAAGATTTGATTATCAATCAGACAAAGATAAAAATTTTGAGATTCACCAGAATCTCAAAATAAGTAATGAATAAGTAACCCAGAACCCAAAGAAAGGCAGAAAACAGGCAGAAATTGGAAAGTCTTGACTGAAAATCGTGTAATGTGTGACTTACAGCATTGGCTGAATCTTATTGGTCAATTGTTGGTGACGTGTATTTCACAAATTTAGAAAGTGTAGGATTGAATTGATGCAGCATTTAGATGCAGTAATAGATATGCAAGAATGGGAATTGCAGTGGAAGAAGATTATTAATTTTACTCTCAATGCTCTACTTAGGGAGAAACTCCATCAAAGATGTTCTGTGGTTGGCATATTACCTTAGTCCTACCCTAGCTGTAAACATAATAGTTTATTCAAATATTGCTGGAAAAGTAACATTCTGTTTGGATTGTTCCTTCATATATGGTGGCACAGGAATTTTTGAATCTTAAAAACTGAACTCCCTTTGCAATCTGTGACATTTTCATTAAAATGTACAAGCCCGTATATTCCAAGTGTAGTGAATTGGCTTTGAATATGCTAGCTGCTGCAAGGATATTTTATGAGAAAGTATGTTTAATTCCTTCTGTGGAAGAATGTCTAATTAAGGATGCTTTGATGTGTAAAATAACTTTGCATCATAGAAGGGGATGACACAGAATTTAATTCAAACCGGAAAGCATTCTGAGTCTTTAATGCAGTGATTCAGTGTATGGATTTGTACCACATCCCAAATTTGACCCAAAGGTGTTTGTTTTTCAGGAGTCAACTGGACTTTCCAGTTTCTTTGAAGAGAAGACATTTCACTTCTCATCCAAGAAGCTTCTTCAGCTCTGACTGGATGGTGGGGAAGGGAAGGACTTCTATTCCTTGCAGACAGCTGGTCATTTGCATCCTTTTGAAGAGTTGTTGAGGCCACTTGGAGGTTTATCAGGACTAGATTCAGTTGTCCATCTTCATTTAAAAGACAAAGGCCACTCTTTGGCAGACAGCAAAGTCCACATTTTGGACAGAGAGTATTGCTGGTTTGAAAGAGGGGTCAAAGGGGTCATTTATGTCAAAATTGAACCGCCCTCTCTTAACGGAGGGGGAGGGATACAACACCATATGCCCCGTGTTTAGAACCTTTCATCAGTTATAAGAAGGCTCCACTCCCATTTGCACCACTCAAGTGACCCCAAGCACACAAAGAAACTCCCAAGTGGCCTCAAGGACTCTCTGAAAGGATTCAAGGAGTATAAATCCTTCCATCCTCCACCATCCAATCAGAGCTGAAGAAGCTTCTTGGATGAGAATTGAAATGTCTTCAAAGAAAAACAAGAAAGTCCAATTGCCTCTTGAAAAAGCACCTTTGGGACAGCCATGACCTGAATGACTGAGGATCTCCATGGACATCCAAAAATTGAGTTGCTGTCTATATTTTGATCTTACAGGATTCTTAAAATTAAAACAGACTTTTATGAGTATGGACAAAATTTATTATCCTTCAGAATTTTATTTTATGAATCACACTGTGTGCTGATTGCGATTCCTCTTTATCCATTGCTTAGGCAACTTCCAGTCTTTTAAAATGATGCAATGTTCATAATCAATTAATGATAGTGTGAAATATTGTAATTTCTCCATTTGTAAACTTCTTGTTCATTCATTCATTCATTTCCTATTTTTTACCCCATCCTTTTCTTATTTTGTTCTTTTGCCTTTTTACATTTGTTCTCTGTGAAATACCTTTTAAAAAATGGGCACAGATAAGTGTGTTTGTGTCTCTTATATATACAATATGTTGAAGTAGCTATTGGTGGATAAATAATCCCCTGGCCTATCGAAAGTTTCAGGAGGTCATTTGAATTTAAGAAAATGGTTCAAATCATCACATTGAAGCAATGATTTTCCATACTGATTGCATGGGATTTATACCATACATTTTTACTTTTTTTTACTCAAGGCAGCAGATGGCATTTAAAATAACAATAGAAGCTTTTTAAAAAATAGAATCAATAAATTTGAACACTTTAAAAAGTTTGTTGAAAGAAATACATTTTTAGCATTTTTATAATTCATGGGAGTGTGGGGGAACATTGGCCTCTTAGGTTAATATTATTTAGTCCACTTCGCTGAGTTTCTAGCAATAGGAGCCTCTGTGAAGGATACAATGGTGGCATCAACCACAGGAAAGGTCTTTGTGGAAGAAGCCAAGAGGTTTGAGTTTTAACAATATTAAACACATTAAATTTTGAGATAGTGCAGATGTTTCTTTTTTTAGAGTTGTTGTTTTTTTAGTTTTATTTGGCATTTATAGGCCGCCCTTTTCCCTGAGGGGACTCAGGGAGGCTTACAACTTGTGGGAGGTAGTGCAAGAGAAACATAAAGTGTGAATAAAATAAAATAAAACAGTAAAACAGTTGTCGCAGAAGGATACCATGGTCGATGGTATCGAAAGCCGCTGAGAGGTCAAGGAGAACCAGGATGGACG